GATTGTGTATTGTGACCTCACGTTTTTTTAGCGTCAAACAACGTACTTATTTCTTAAAAATTTGCAGGAGAAATACTAAAATGAAGTTGATCATAAAATCAATTAATGAAAAAGTGATTATTTTTTTATATATTATTGTATTGAAGAGTCGAAATAATTTATTTTTGATAAAGGAAAGCACCCAATTAAAAAGCCACTACCACAAACATGCTTCAATATAAAAAAAACAACAAAAAAAAGAAACTATAACGATTTCGAATTGTAAATTTAAATTCAAATAGTGATGTTTAGTTAAGCTACCGTAAGGCATGGCGTGTGCCACAGAGTAAATAAGTGATACGCAGAATCATACGTACTTACATTCGTAGGTAAAAACCAATGCTTTGAAGTGCTTGACAAATATTGACTCTAACTTTTCTCTCTAAAAGTCCATTTTTAAAAAACCTTAAACGGTAACTAGGTTTTGTTTCCTGATCTCGTTTTAAGTGAAATGTTACGGTTTTTTCGCTTGCTTTGATATTGGAATAAACCGGTAAACGAGCAGACGGATCACCTGATGGTAAGCAATCGGCGCTGCCCATGGACACCCGGAACATCAGAGGCGTTACAAATGCGTTACCCTCCTTTTTTAAGAATTTGAGGACTGTGAGGAATTCGGGGATTGGAGAGACTGCGGAGGGGCTAATTAGGTCTCCGGTAACCTCACTCACACGACGAAACACAACGCAAGTGTCGTTTCATTAGGTTTTTTGCTCGGTCGTGGTATCACTCCGGCTGGCCATTCGTGCCGAAGCATGACTCAAAGTCAAAAGTCAAAGTCAAAATTATTTATTTCAATTAGACCAGAGAGGCACTTTTGAGCGTCAATAAAGAAAATTAACAAGTGAAGCTATTTGCTCATTCCAAGGTGTAGATTCTTATGGAGAAGAACGAGCAAGAAACTCCATAGGTTACTCTTTTTCAATCAAGTTCACAATACAGTTGACTCTCCCACACTTAAAATTTCACATAAAAGACTTTGCTGCATTCGCTACAATTTGAAGGTCAAGTCTTCAAAGATATCAAAGACTGCTGCTGTCCAACCTCAATCAAATCAAGTCGGGTGTACGACACCCACTGGAAGACTAACGTTGGTGACAAATGTATTCTACTGTTAAGTTTATAAGTATATTTTTATATTTATATCCGGACGTAGATCAGTATTTTATAAGTGTTAAAATACCAGACAAATTTTTCCTTAACGAATAAAAAAGTTGACAAAAAATGGCTACCGTACACTAATCGTTTAGCTATTAAAATGATAGGTATGTCTGTGATTCTGTATGATTTAAAGTCTAAAAATAAAAACGAAGCTTGATTTGTTTAGTTACAGAGTGATACCACGGCCTCACAGAAAACCGACGTGAAACAACGCTCGCGTTGTGTTTCGTCGTATGAGTGAGGTTACCGAACGCCCAATTAATTACTCCCCAATCCTCAACAATCCTCAAATTACTTATCCCCAATAGGCCAGTAATGCACTTGTAACGCCTCTAGTGTTCCGTGTGTACATGAGCGACGCCGATTACTTACCATCAGGTGATCCGTCTGCTCGTTTACCGACTATTCCCATAAATAAAAAATATTTCGACTTTGAAATAAAATTGACGAATTAAACACAGATTACATTACTCGACCACCTACTAAGCCCTAATTCAAACCGATCAAGTCAAAAAATGACGAGATTCCGTTAAAATCGGGTTTTTCATCGTTAAAATACACAATACCCCGTTATAGACCATGTTTGTCCAACTAATATTGACATCGAAAGTCGCCATGTTTGTTCAGAGATTTCGCGCCAACTACGCTCGTTTACTTGTCTATGGTTTTTATTTTTTTTTTGTTTGAACATCTGTGGTACTTGTTTTTTGGATTGTCAGATTTGTGGATTTTGTTAGATTTTACGCTTATGATCGTTGACATCGCATTTTATAGTTTTCCGTAGTGATTTAGTTTGATCTGGTAAGTCAAAGGAATTCCTGATATATTTTGCTAGTATAGGTATTAAGAAGGGCCAAATTAAAAGTATTAACCGATGAACATGCATGAAAATATTGATGACTTCATGAAGCGAAAGAGGTATGTAGGAATCGTAGTAATTGGCGTTCCATAGTCTCTGCCTCCCCTCATGGGAGACAGGCGTGAAGTTATATATGTATGTATGGATTCACATCTGTAGTTGAAACAACTAAGCATGATAGAAAGGTAATACTAAGCATATTCACTTCTAAGCATATTCATACATTGATTTTGTATATTCATATCTAAATAATAGACATAAAATAGGAAGAAAGAAAAAAAAATTGGCACTTAGCCCACAAAACAAAGATTATAAAAAATAAAAGTACAGATACCTTACATAAACATCATTACATAGTATAAATCAAAATCACTATCCGCCGTTTGTCTGCCTCTATGTATGCTTAGATCTTTAAAACTACGCAACGGATTTTGATGCGGGTTTTTTTAATAGATAGAGTGATTGTTAAGGAAGGTGTATATGTATAATACATGCATATTGCACCCGTGCGAAGCCGGGGCGGGTCGCTAGTAATATTTATAATAAACATAAAAAAGTAGAGAAAAGAACAAAAAATATAACAAAATAATGTACAGTCAGCACCAAAAGTCGATGAACAGAATCAACATTACAAAACACCTGTTCACAATAAAATGCCATAAGTTATAGTCGCAACTAGGAAACAAAATAGCCTGTACACAAGAAATTTACAAAAGTCGTTACACACGACTATTTCAGAAGTATCTGTGCACTAGTATTCCTAAAGTCGCTGTACACCATCAATCCAAATGTCGCTGAACACCATTGTACCAAAAGTGACTAAACAGCAGTAGAGATAAAATTAGGTTAACAAAGTATATTTTTAATGTTGCCGTTTGTTAATATACTTTTGACGCTTGTGTTGTTCAGTTACTTTTAGGACAATGTTTGCTTGACTTTAATAATGCACGTTAGTATCTATTTCAATATCTATTTTCAAAATTATGTATATTTTTTTGTCAGTAATCATACTAATCTATGTTTTATATACGCTTACGTCAAAATAATCGCTTTGTTTTGTGACGGTACTTGTAATTTATTTTGCGCGAATCTTACAAAACCTACCTGTACCTACATTCAAGTTCATCCTTACATAACATTAATGCATTAATTGGAAAATTCCAAAAAATCTATGAGTAGCTATAAAAAGACAGACATAACACCAGTGGGAACAGGAAACTGGTTAATTAAACACAATTATTGTGGGTTTCTTTTCTTGCCCCTGCTGCACTGGTGTGGCAATCCTAGCAGTGTCTTACAAACAATAACAATAATAGTCCACTCGTTGGCCGAGTGGTCGCAATACAACTGCCGGGCAATGGGTTTTGGGTTCGATTCCCGGGTCGGGCAAAGTATTACTGAGTTTAAAAAAATTCTCAGTAGTATCACGAAGTCTGGAATTGTGCCCGGTATATGGCAATAGGCTCATCCCCTATTACATGGGACTCATAACATAAATAGTGAAAAGTGGATGTTACATGATGGCATTAAGTGTCGCAATATGCGTCTCTGCTTAACGCTTCGGGGATAAAAGGCGTGATGTTATGTATTGGTATAAGTAAGACTAAACATTGAACTGTATCACTATCGAATAGTTTAGCAATGGACTATTAATGCACGTAAAATGGCAATAATAGTCCACTGTAAAATATACATAATTTTGTAAATAGATATTGAAGTAGATACTAACGTGTTAACATGCATTATTAAAGTCAAGCAAACATTGTCCTAAAAGTAACTGAACAACACAAGCGTCAAAAGTATATTAACAAACGGCAACATTAAAAATATACTTTGTTAACCTAATTTTATCTCTACTGCTGTTTAGTCACTTTTGGTACAATGGTGTTCAGCGACATTTGGATTGATGGTGTACAGCGACTTTAGGAATACTAGTGCACAGATACTTCTGAAATAGTCGTGTGTAACGACTTTTGTAAATTTCTTGTGTACAGGCTATTTTGTTTCCTAGTTGCGACTATAACTTATGGCATTTTATTGTGAACAGGTGTTTTGTAATGTTGATTCTGTTCATCGACTTTTGGTGCTGACTGTACAATATGATAATAACATAAATTAAATATACAAAATAAACCAAATAGTAATATTATAGTGCGCATGCTCATGCCAAAAGGGCGTCCACCTCAATATATAGTTGAGCGTTAATTCTAAATTGATATAGACATAACTAATTACATAGGTACGAAGCCTGATTTATATCATAAATTAAAAATACTCAGTCTATTTCAGACAAAAACGACTGTAAAAAAGAACTGAAAGTTGTTTTACTCAAGTTTCGAAAGTAGATCTAATTTTAATTTTAAAATAAGGAATATTATAGTGTCGTATTTTGATTAATTCTTTCCTGCCATATGACAAATCGATGCTATGTAATGACTGTAATGAGAATTCATAATATTTTGACATTCACCCTGATTGCAATAAAGAGTGTTATAAAAACTAAATTTGCATTCGTTTGCGTCTAGATTTCATTTTTATTTGCTAGATGTATTCATTAATTGAAACTAAATGAATGTCAATATGAAACAAAAAATATCGAGAACAGTTCATTTATCAACAACGCCATCTACCTTCAGAAAAGAGTAGTAATTTAGTTGTTCTCCTAGCGGCGGGTAGCAGAACTATCTTTGTATCTACGACGTAACTTTGTAACGGCGTCTTTTTGTTTCTTTCTTTCGTTTTATATTGTGTTGTCAAAGTTTTAAACATTGTTTGTGCAGTAATTAAAAATAAACCATAGTTTTGATAAAATGAAACCTTAACTTTCAACGAATAAAGCATTCTCCCCCATAGTCGTTAATGCACTTAATGTGACTAGAACATTTTGTTTTTGTAAAATAAACCGTAACACTCAACTAACAAAGTACAATTTCCTCCACAGTCGTTGATGCGGTCTATGTCAGTGGAGCAACGCTGGCAGGACCTGGCGTCTCTGCTGACCATCCCCCCTCCCCCTCCACCGGACCAGTACCAGCACTACCACCACCACCACGCCCACCAGCATCCGCATCCACATAACATTGCGTGAGTATTTTAATTTACTGATATTTATGACATTTTTTGTTGACTGCCTCATTGGTCGAGTGATCGCAAGTGTGACTCGAGCTAGGGGTCTTGGGATGGATTCCTGGGTCGGGCAAAGTATTACTGTGTATTTATAGAAAATCGCAGTAGCACGGAGTCTGGAATTGTGTCCAGTATAAGGCAATAGTCTCACCCCCTATTACATGGGACTTATAACATAAATAGTGAAAAGTGGGTGTTACATTGTACAGTGGCATTAAGTGCCGTAATGTGCACCTCTGCCTATAAAAGGCGTGATACATTTAAAATTTTAAGTTATCAAAATCTATGCAGCCGTTCTCGATATACATATTTTTTATTGGGACTAGCCCGCCACAACCTCCCAAAACCGCTGCAACTCCTGTACACCAGGATCTACAGTAGATACAACCATGAAAACACCGGAACACTGAAGTCCAACGTCCCAGGGACATGAATAGTCTTGGTTCTCGCAACGAAGTGAATCAGAAGATACATATATAATACATGACTAACATTATATGTTATGATTTCAGTGCCCACGGCGCCGCGGGCGGCTATGGTCCGAACTACCACGCTGCCATTCCTCCTGTACCCGAAAAACATCCTGAAGCTTATGGTAAGTTAGAACTGAAATGAAAATTTTATTTTAAAAATCCATTTTTTTTATTCAAAAAAACATGTGGACTGTGTCATTGCACGTTTGGCGTCGTGGTGGCCCTGAGGTTGAGGTTCTTGTGCATGAGGGTGTGGGATCGAAACCTGCCAAATAGCAATGCGAATTTTTCCGTGTTATATGTACTTTCTAAGAGTACTTAGACACCACTGACAAACGGTGAAGGAAAACATCGTGAGGAAAAAAGGTTGTAGTATATTAATTAACAGATTTCAAATAACAGGGGTTTGAAGTCGGCTCTTTTATACATAGTTTATAAAAAAATATTTTAATATTTACTTATGTATTTATTTCGTATCAGGAGGCGCTGCAGCACCGCTGGACGGTGCCTACAAGGTGGAAGCGAACCAGCACCCTCAACAACATGATCCACTCTACTATCAGGTAAAATAATTAATTTCATCTTATTCAAGTCGTTTTTTATGGAATAGGAGGCAAACGAGCAGGCGGATCACCGCCGGTAAGCGATCAGCGCCGCCCATGGACACCCGCAACACCAGAGGAGTCACAGGTACGTTGTCCGCCTTCTAAAAAGGAATACGCTCTTTTCTTGAAAGTTTGAAGGTCGTATCGGTTCGGAATACCGCCGACGACAGATCATTATGCAGTTTGCTGTGCGAGGCAGGAAGCTACGTGAGACTGATTCAATCGTATGGGCAGGCCTATGTGAGGCAGTGGATGTCTTTCAAATGATGATACACTTGATGACCTCTCTTGGATTAGTCTTGTTGATAAAAAGACCTTTAGTAAAAGATTAAGATTGTATAAAGTTTGTTTGTTTGAACGCGCTCATCTCTAGAACTACTGGTCTGATTTGAATAATTCTTTTTGTGTTGGATAGTACATTTATCGAGAAAGACTATAGGCTATAAAACATCACGTTGCAAACAATAGTAGCTGAGCAGGGCGAATGAAATTGCGCAGAAGTAAGTAATACGTACGATGCGACCGTCAAACCTTCAAGAAAAGAGCGTATTCCTTTTTAAAAGGCCGGCAACGCACCTGTGATTTCTCTGGTGTTGCGGGTGTCCATGGGCGGCGCTGATCGCTTACCATCAGGTGATACGTCGGCTCGTTTGCCTCCTATTCCATATTAAAAAATACGGTATACAGGGATATTCTTTTGGTCTCCAGGCCGCCAAGCAAGCATGGACATTGGACATTATAGCAAACACTGTCGCATAGAGCCCATATTCTAGTAGAAAACACTCACGGGCGGTTTCAAAAAAAATCAGTTTTTTCATCTAAATTATATTGTCAAACAGAATGCGTCAGCTGAAATGGCTGGTCCGACCAACCAGGATGGGTTTCTCCAGTCTATCCTGAACGATGAGGATTTGCAGCTCATGGATATGGCTATGAACGAAGGTATGTACTTATTTATATAAATAACGTTATAAACGTACAAAACTAAAAAAAAACAGATAGTTAATCAATTCAACACTATTATTCGCTGTGCAATGAACTAGTAGCGACATCTATTTGCCATACAATGAAGATGTGTAGTTCCAGTGATATACCGATAGATGGCGCGCTTAATATATTAGCTTTTTTAACAATTCTTAGCGTAGTCGTTTATTTGGACATTTATATATTAAGGATCTTTACATCAGGATGGACAGTTTCATAAAATTTAAATATATTCTGTGTATGATTGGGTTACTAGATGGTTTAGTTTCATGATGAACTCCATAGATGGCGCTGATGTTCAAAGGGATTTTCATATATACAACAATGACTTGTTATAATATTAAAGGTGACATTCTGATTACTGCGCATTATAATACTGTTCATAGACATAGTTATATATTTCGTTTCTTAGCATTGATGACTCAAAATTGCAAGATAACATTACTCAACTATAAAGAAGAATGAAAACTAAAACTCATTAATTTTAATCTTTTTAATACCTTTTACTGAGAAACAAATACCCATAAATAAATACTTTAAGGCTAAAATCAAATATAAAGAAACGTCCTTTAATGAATTTTAAGCCTTATCTCCTAAGTAAATGTATTTTAAAGTCGACCTTAAAGTTATTGTGATAAAGTTGGCAGTCGTTGACACAGTTATCTGCATATAAGGTTTATTTTTGCTTAAATTGTTAAATTGAAATGTCATTGGTATAAGTCAGTTGTCTAGTTGTCCATGGTATAATTATAAATTAACACTGTTTTTACCTACTGCAACATCTCTGCTGGTTGTGCACGATGATGCGGCCTACGATGGAGCACGTCTACTTATAAGCAACGTCTGTAATATACTGTATGCTAACAAATGTCAATTAAAATTAATGGAAACCAATAATAAAAAAACAAGATTACATTATCCATTAAATTGATAAAATTATATAATTAGTATATATCTGAATGATACAAATCCTTCTAATCTTAATCATATACATATATTATGTAATTTTGAAAGAATGTTTCAGTAATTACTGAACTTAATTAACTAAAAATCGCGGGTTACTCACGTGAATATACTGAGAAAAGCTCTACTAGTTTCGAACCACAGTGGGGGTTCTTCCTCATGTTCGGTCGCGGCGATGTCGCGCAGCCTACTCTACCGTACAGAGAGATAGGCAGAGATGCACACAGGTGCACCTATAAAAGGCATGATATTGTGTTATGTTACCTAAGTACCAATATGACTTTTCCGAGCTATATGTACGTTCTAAGATTATCTAGACACCACTGACAAACGGTGAAGGAAAACATCGTGAGGAAACCTGGACTTTTAATTTCTAATTATAAGTTTGAAATCGCCAACCCGCATTGAGCAAGTGTGGTGATGATTGCTCAAACCTTCTCCGTGTGAGAAGGGGCCTTTGTCAAAGTCAAAGTCAAAGAATTTATTTCAATTAAACCATAGTTTGGTACTTTTGAAACGTCAACAAATACAAAATAAATAATAGTCTGTCAGTCAGTCCGTCAGTGAAGCTAGGTGCTCATTCCAAAATGTAGATTCGAATGGAGAAGAACGAGCACGAAACTCCATTCGTTACTCTTTTTTAAAAAAATATGTTCTACAATGTCTCTGATACACATTTCAATACTGTACGCATATGTAAGAACAATGCAAAGACACGCTTGACGCATTATACTAATAACTTACTAAAATAAAAATAAAAAAAAATAGTTTTGGTCAGCAGTGGCCACTTATAGGCTATTGATATTAATTAGGTTGTCAGTGTTTTACTAAAAACCTTGGATAATCTGTAGATATATACATATAGTAGGTATGAACAATACCGTATGCATATATACCTCTATGATCCAAAACACGTGTGTGTGTGTGACATATATATCAAATATATATCTATATAATATCAATATATAATACATAATATTAAGTATCATATCTTATTGCTACGCTAAGATAAAAAAAAAATGCATGATATCAATCGAATACAGGTGTCATAAGCTATCGCGATCGAATTTACACTTTATTATTTACAGTTTAAAGTCCATATTTGTATGTATTTAGCGTTATTTGGAATCAAGTTCATAATATATAGATAGATGGTAATGTAAAATCGAATCAATTGTGAAAGGATAAGGTGTAGATTTGTATGTTTATGATTTTATATGCGTGTTTAAACTAGTTTTTCGCGAGTTTATACTAGAGACATCCAGTTTTTTAAATGCTTTGAGGAAAATTCAGTGTTTTATCTAAATGATGTCACTTGATTATTTTTTAAACGTTGCCCCACACTAGGATCTTCTCCTGTGTCGTGGGTGCGTTTACAAACATACAAGTTCACATACACAATGACACCCAGACACGGAACTACAATCCGTGGATCACACAGAGCTATTCCGTGCAGAACTCGAACCCGCGACACGTGTAGATATAGATTTCTTATTTAGAATATGTCTTAATTTTCAATTAACCCCATTTTTTTATGACATAAGCCGGTAAACGAGCAGATGGATCACCTGATGGTAAGCAATCGGCATCGCCCATGGACACACGGAACATCAGAGGCGTTACAAGTGCGTTACCGGACTTTTGGGGATTAGGAGTTTGAGGATCGTTGGGGATTTAGGAATTGGGGAGATTGGGGAAGGGGAGGGTAATTGGACCTCCGGTAACCTCACTCACACGACGAAACACAACGCAAGCGTTGCTTCACGTCGGTTTTCTGTGAGGCCGTAGTTTCAATTTTAGTAAAATGTACAAATAATGCTTGATAAGTTAATTGTGACTAAGTAAATTGCCGATACAACGTAATATTACGTTCCATGATTAAAATGGACCGTTAAACATGATTCATATATTTCGTTTAGTCACAGTAATATTGTTGTAACGCAGATATTTATCGGATTATCATGTCTAGTCATGTGACACTGAATATTGTATTTATACTGATATTTAAAATATAACAAATTGCTTCGTTGTATGAGGAAATTATGTGACTTTTGGGTTTTACCTGTTATTTCACTAATACTGATAGAGAAGTTATGCCTGTTAATATGCAGTTGTATCTATAAGCAAAAATATATAAGTCATGTCTTTGAATCGGTAGGCATAACACGCATTTGATATGAAACTCGACAGGTGTGCTAACCAATGCTTCTTGAGAGTTCTTTTTTTATATTTGATGGGGCGACGTTTGATCGCTCCCGAACGATCTCTACGATGATGATGTGGTCTACGATGGAGCACGTCGTCCCATAAGCAACCTATTCACTCGGGCCTTGACAACTCCTAGGTTATACTATACCCTTCAGGAAATACAGAGTCCTGGCAAAGAATTCCACTCTTTAGCAGTGCGTGCTTTAACAGAAGCGAAGCGCTTCGTGCGTGTGGGTGGGACATTTACCATGAATCGGTGACGCTTCGCCGATTGTCTTGTGGTACGATGATGGAAAGGACTAGGGGGAATCAAGTTGTGCAATTCCCCCGCACACTCACCGAAATGTATCCGGTAGAAAACCGAAAGGCTTGCTACAGGGTGCAATATGGAGCAATGAGGGAGACGTGGTACTTACTTTTAGGAATATCTGTGTCTTATTAACTAACTTACACTACTTACTAACTTCCATTTTCTATAACCTATCTATCTGTAGATATGCTTACAGCTTACTAGAGATAGAAATTTGACATGAGCTCTATACAAACTGTGTTATAGATCAAGGTGTCACACACTACAAGGATCTGCCTCATTGGCCGAGTAGTCATAAGTACGACTGCCGGGCTAGGGGTCTCGGGTTTGATTCCCGGGTCGGGCAAAGTATTACTGGGTTTTAAAAAAAGTCTCAGTAGTAGCACGCAGTCTGGAATTGTGCCCGGTATATGGCAATAAGCTCACCCCCTATTACATGGAGCTCGTAATATGAATAGTGAAAAGTGGGTGTTATATTGTACAGTGGCATTAAGTGCCGCGTGATGATATGTTATATGTGCTACAGGGTCTCTGTCAAATGTCTAGTCTCGTAGTCGGCTCTTGCGTTATTCTTGTGTAGATTAGAGTGTGACAAGAACTTACACTGCTTATAAGGGAATTACTTCCGAAAACGCAGACCAACAATTTTTGTTTTTACAGTTTTAATTAGTTTTTCGTTTCGTGTCATTTATGCAATATGCATGCACTGCATGCAAGTGTGCATTTTGCACATTTCGTGTTTTATTTCTTACACAAACTCCCAAAACCCCTGCAACTCCTGTGCACCAGGATCTGCCGTAGATACAACCATGAAGACACCGGAACACTGAAGTCCGGCGCGCCCCAGGGACATGAATAACTGTCTTGGTACCCACAACGAAATAAATCAGAAGATATTATAAGAGAGGAAGAAAAACGATAGTTTCCACTTCCCTCGGTGAATTACTGCAGGAGACAGAATGAATTAAGCCTAAAGGCACAAAAAAGACTGTACAAATGGGAGTCGCAGTCGCCAAGTCTCCGCCCCTTGCTAAAATATCTAACGTAAATATCACAGTAACAAGTAATTAATAAAAGCAGCGGAAATAACAATGAACATAACTTATTAATCACTACTATCAATAAATGAAATAATATACGACACGTATGACGTAATCAATTCTTAAAAAAAAACGTTTAGTCACACCGCTAGCTTCGCGCGCTCTACACGAAAATGGCCGGAGATACACATTTATCAGCGTTCTAAAATTAACCTATTTACAAAGTAAATAAGATACAATATTCTGTTTGTTTAACTACTCTTTATAATATCTAACAAATGAAAGACATATCATTTGACATTTTGTCTAGTGGCTGTATAAGTGTTGCCTTTGCTTTCGCGATAGTGAAATTAAAAGTTTAAAACGTCAGTGCTGTGATTGTGAACCTCTTTTCTTCATCACCAAAGAGTTTGTGTGCACGAAGGTCGAATTCGATT